TGTGTGTGTGTGTGTGTGTGTGTGTGTGTGTGTGTGTGTGTGTGTTTGGTTGGTTGGTTGTTTGCTTACGTACTTGGAGACAGGGCCTCACCTAGGCTAAGGCTGGCCTTAAACTTAAACTTCTGATCCTTCTGCCTTCACCTTCCAAATGCAGGGATAAACAGATGTGTGCCATGATGCTCAGCTTGACGAATCTGCGCACTGTAGGCCTTCAGGTGCTTTAATCTATTCCATGGAAAGAACACCCATTTCTGCCTTCCTTTCTATAAACTGTGGCAGTGTTGTGGACAGGGAAGGCTTGTTTTAAGGAAGGAGCACCCCAACCTGGAGCTCAGAGTCCAGCCCAGCTCTGTCTGTATCCTTCTTCCACCTGTGTCCAGGTTCAGGGGACAGAGGGCTTGAGGGGCCCAGGGCCCTGACCCACTTCTTCAGCCTCTGCCCCTCACCGCCCTTTCAGGTCATGCTGAGCTATTCAGAGTGAGTGGAAATTTCCGCGCCTGCCAGGAGCTTTCTGTCCGCCTTTCCCTTATCTCCGCAGCTCTTCCGCCCGGCACCCTTCCCGACTCTACCCTGCTCATCTTTCAGAACCTAACCTGGCTGTTCCACTTCTAGGGTGCCGCCTCTGACGTAGCTCGACGCCTTCTCCTGATTACCGCTCCAGCCACTTGCCTAAGCGCCAAAACTCCAGCTTCTCTCTTTGGCCCTAAGCCCCCATGATTGCAGCCAGTGGCCCTTTCTAAAATACACGTCTTGTTATTCCCTGCTTAAAATAACCAGTCAATGGAATCATCCATCAATCAATGTTTCAAGGGCTCCTCCTTGCCCTCAAGGAAGGCATCCAAAGCCTGATTGTCCTGCACCCACGCACCCTCAGCAGCTTTCCGAAGAGCAGGCTATGTTGGACATGGGGCCGTGTCCCCAGATGCCTGTGGGACATACTGATTGGGTGGGTTTCTGACTGAGTAAGGGAATGGGGCCGAAGCCATGCTTGACCCGTCGTCACACACCTCTGTTGGCCCCAGAGCTGTGATGCCCCACAGTAGACCCATTTTATAGCCAAAGGGGAGGCGGAAGGGAAGGGCAGCTCTGGAGGGAGAAGAAAATCAATAAAAATGTAAATCTGGAGGCGAAAAGCTGTCCCAAGCTGGCTGTGGGGAGAGATAAGACTGGGCCAGCTGAACCCTCACTGACAGCGGAGAAGAGATTAGGGAGCAGGGGAACTGCAGCCAGGGCAGCACATGGGGGTGAACCTCCTGTCTCCTCTGCCCCTCCCACCCTCTGCTCCAGGTGCTTATTAAATCCTCTCCGACACAGGAGAAGGGAAAACCACAAATCATCAGGTGCTGAGCCTGTGAGCCCAGGGTGGTACCTTACCCGGCCCCACGATCATGGGAAACGGAGACAGGGCAGATCTACCTGCCTTACAGGTAAGGAGCTGGGCGCAGAGGGATGTGGTCAGTTGTTCAGGGTCCTGCTGTGACTGCATGGCAGACTCCAGGTCTGGACTTAAGTCCGATGTCTCTCAGCTCCACTATGAAGGACTTTGACCTGAGATATTGGCCTCTTAGGAAGACTGTACAGGGCTTTAGAGCCCCGCCCCCACCTTTGAAACCACAAACAACTGTGCATCTTTGTGTGTGTGGGGGGGGGAGTGAAGTGGTGGTGAATTTTATTTATATTTTTATTTATTTATTTAGGATTTTGAGACAAGGTTTCATTTTGTAGCCCAGGCTGCCCTCAAACTTACCATCCTCTTGCCTCTGTCTCCTGGGTGATAGGATTACAGACATGCGCTCCACACCTGGCTTGGTTTATAAATTTATTTTTTTAAATGTTGCTTGTGTCTTTAATGAGGCTACTTCCCTAACTTGTCCCTTCACTGCCATGTCATACTGCCTCCTCCGAGGTAGAGGCTTTTGAACTGGGCCTTGATGGAGGACAGGACTTCATGAAGAAGGGGTGGCGGGAGGGACACAGGACAGCTGGGTCTATCAAGGGGGATGTTCAGCACGTGCAGGTAATGAACGGTGAGCGTGGAGTGAGCTGGCCACGGCTCCTGGAGCCAGGGCCCCAGGGGCATCTGCCTGACCCGGAGCTTTCCAGCTTCTCCAAGCAACAGAAACTGAAAGCCAGACACTGAGATGCTGTTTTTGGTGCCTGCCCCATCTGCTTCTGGGCTTCACCAGCAGTGAAGCGGGTAGGGCCTGGTGCAGGGTAGAGAGACCGTGGTTCGCAGACGCTCACGGCTCTTGGTCAACAGGAGGCGAGGTGTGTGTTCATGTTTGTTTGACTTTTTGAACATGAGTTCGTGGGTGTACATGTGTATGCATGTATGTGGAGCTGCATGTGTGCCTCTGTGTATGCATGTGTATACATATATGATCATGTGAACATGAGTGCATGTTTTTTGTGTGTGTGTCTGTTGTACATAGCATCTGTGTATGTGCATGAATATGTATGCATTTCACTCTAAGTGTGAGTTGGTGTGTACATGAGTGTGTACATGTGAATATGTCTGAATGTATGTGTGAAATTGTGTGTGTCTGAAAGTGTGCATGTGAGTGTATGGAGTAAGTGTGGGCATGTATGTGCATGTGCACATGTGTGTGAGAATGTATAGCTTCTGTGTGTGTTTATGCTTGTGTTTTGTGAGTGCATGCATGTGTGTAAGAATCTATGTCCGTGTGTGACCACATATGTGAATATCATGTGAGCATGTGTGCACATGATCATGTGAATTATTATGTGTGTAAGTGGG